GTCTGCATAAGCTTCGGCCACGCCCAGATTGGTCTCTTTTAGGGGTTAAATTCAAAATTTCCGACGAGCATCCCCGTCCACTCCATATGGAAGTCCCCCCCTCCCCCGGGCAACAAAAGCCCGACCACGTACTGTTCACGTTGACTTCTGATACATGGCAACAGATGTTAATAAGTAGAGGCAGTTTAAACTTTGGAACAATATTTTTCTCGCCACAGCACCTACTAGGGGACTCTATCAGAAATTTTAGCCATAAGGAGATGAAATCTGAATATAAACAGAGTTTGTCTGGAGGTCAGTCAATGAAAGTCAAACACCGTGAGCTTACACTATATCGTGGAATCACAACGAACCGGTGAAAAGAATCCTTCGTTTATTACTGCACGACAGAAAATTCACTACTGCCTTTAGCATCTGTGCCTTCGTCTGGAGCTACTCCTTTGTATAAGTTACTTAGGTATGCGTGACACTAACGAGTATGGTTTTGGCGCCATTTTGATCTCAAACAACGCTTGGTAGGTGCACTCTGTCAACATTCTGATCTGGGGCCTGTTTCTCGAAAGTCCCGGAAACTTTTCGGGCCCGTAAAGCCATTTTTAGTTCATCTGTATCTAAAGACGGAGAAGTGCATAATCCTGAAACTTCTTGTATGAAGGAAACCTCTGTTTATATTAAGAATATATGTGAATAAAACAGCTCTGTAATCGTAAGGTCCGAGATTTTGCAATGGCTTTCCGAGCTCGAAAAGTTTCCGGGGCTTTCGAGAAACGGGCCCCTGGAGTTGAATGAATTTAAGTTTAGATACGAAACTACAAGGTATCTATAATTGTCATTATTATTATTACTTATATGTTGAGAAGTGTGATCTGGGTTGAAATAAGGTATCAAGTTTTAGTGCAGGTCAGAAATAGGGTGATGAATTTCAAGAAGTTTGCGCCTCGCAACCACACCCAAATATTTTGGGAGACACGCGTCAGGGTTCGAAGTTCGTCTTACCCGAACACCTCTTCAAATCACTTAAGAAATTTTGAGATCTTCTTGCTGGAGACCCTGTGATAAACAGCTTTTTTTCTGCTGTGGCAATACGATAATATGAAACAAAACCCTCCTCTCCGTAAGCTTTCTCGCATGACGTATGTCTGATATATGCCGACCCCGTGGGCTACTCTACAAAGTTTTATACGGGAAGGTTCCGCCCCGAGGTTCAACCCCTTACCCTTTTGTAGACCATTTTGACAGAAAAGGTACCCTTTTCATATAACTTTAATTAAAAAAAGGTACGCCTTTCACATACTGTCATACCTGACCGGCGTGTTATGAATAGATCGCCAAAAAAGGAAGTCTTCGTGTCATTTTCATGTTGTGCTTAATAAATTAAATGATACAGCCATAAGGTGCGTCTGTTCTTTTAAAAAAAAAATAGATAACAGATTTCCCTACCTTTTCCGTTACCTCAACTTGTGAAATCCCTACCGTTTTACATACCTGATATTTGAAAAAGGCACCCCTTTCGGGCGGAGCCTCCCCGTACGTTAGCCGGGAGTTTTAAAGCGAAGGGACAATATTTCTTTTACAATACGGCCCCTACTGGGACAGACACTCTCGAGAGGTTTCGCTAAAATTGCCTTCAAACATTTATAGTAATAACAGCTGTGATTGGGGATCGCCATCTGTCCTCCTGGTAATCCCACACGGCAAACATGTAAATCAGATTTTTTTTTTTTTTAATACATCTCAATCTTGTAACTGATGATTTTACCGTGTCTAAATAAAGTGTGTATGTATGTATGTATTGCTCCACTTGAGAGTTAAACAAATTACAAAGGCACAGTCAAACAATTTCTTCGTTTACAATTACTGCATCGCGTACATTGAGTAATTTAAAGCTGCCAGGGATCTTTAGAAGCATTAAGAGGCTGTCCGCGTAAGAACGGATAAGGCAAATTTCGAACCTTCGATTCACCGATTGGCTTCACTTTTTCAGTGAAAGTCAACCATTATATCCAATGTACAAATATCGCATTTATTTGAATCGAATCGATTTTTTTCATTTTCACGAGACGGTTTCCAAAGTGACCTCGAAACTGGCTAATTTGCCTTGGCAGACTCTGACATTTTGCTATCAACGTCGTACGCTGCCAAAACACAGTTTTTTATTCTAACAAGCTGAATGTTTTACATGCAAAAGTTTCATCTTTCCTCGATATTTTAACGGTTTAACGATTTTATTCTGTCAAAGTTTGCCGGAGTTATGAATTTACTCTCGGGGGGGTACTCCCTTGTATGGGCTAAATAAGTATGTGCGGCCCCAAAGGGTATGCTTTTTCAGCTGTTTTGGCCATAAATAGGGTATCAATTTTAGCTGATTTTGGCCATTTTGGTCATAAATAGGCTATAGTTTTTGCTCTCCAGCCTTGATGTGGGTAAGAAGCCACGTTTTCATCATCATCGAAAACAAAATCAACAAAAGCCCTTCACAAATTATGTTTATGGTAATTTAGCATTGGTCTGAACTAGGGAACTAATTATAACGCATGTCTGAAACAGGGTTTTGATTTAAGGGTCAGGTGATAAATAGGTTCCGAAGTTTTGGTCAGGTCATAAATAGGGTAGGGAATAACGCAGATTTTGGTCATAAAAAGGGTAAGAGTTTTGTGAAGCGGGCCACACCCCCCACCTAATTTTTCTGGGAGTACTCCCCCCCGGGTACTAATAGCACTAAGCTGCAGCCGAGTTTGATGCTCTGTTCNTACCAAACTCTGGAATGTGTGAAGCGTGACATACCTAAAGTTAAAAGCTATTTTCTCAAATGTGGGACCTGATCTAGAAACAAATCAATGATAACTCAAAAGTACTAACATCAATTTAAAAACATATAGAATAAAATTTATGGGCACTCTGCATTGCGCGCCATACAGAGCTCCTCGCTACAGGTCAAATTGTGGATTTTAAATTAGATTTTCCGTGATTTAGCCGTTGTTTCGGAAAAAATCTACCTTCATTTGGTATTGTAAACAGCAGAAACGATGAATATTTTTTCCCATCCATATGCAAATTATATGTACTGTAGCCGGGTGAGTTTTGGTTACGATGAGACGACCATATGCTTAACCTGACTTCTTTTATGTATTTTTTAAGGCAAATAATTGTTTCTTACCCGAGAGAAAAAAATGTCTCGGCCTCCTTGCAAAAGCTATTCTTAGTGAGCTCTTTTTATTTCTCACGACGCGGTAGCGCAATGTTTGCTTTCAAAGCTTCAGTTGTTCGTTTCACTTTAATTGAATTAAGCCGACAAGCCAGGTTGGCTCTTTTGTCCAAAACTACCTCATCTCGAGAAATTTCAGCTGCTGAAGTTAATTTAGCTCAAAAGGTTTTGCATGAGTTTATTTTCGCTGGGGTACAATCGGAAACAATTCTATTTCAAAATTCAACATGTCAATGTGGAAAAAATGTTACTGCGTAAAAGAAATTCTCAAAAATATTGTGAAAATCAGAACAAGTTTCATGCCTGAGCAAATAATTGTTTCCTACCCGAGGAAAGAATTGTCTCAGCCTCTTTGCAAAAGCTACTCTTATGGTCCCGCGAAATCCGGTCTTAACTGATCTTGGAAAGGGTGTCTCAAACGTCTCTGAACCATCTCGACGGCGTAAAATAAGAAACAGTCCCAAGAGCTTTATAATGTTAAGAAATTGTATTAGTTGTTTAGAATACTTAGATTTACTGAATAATTCTTTTGATTAGTTAACTAAAAGGCGGTTCATTCGTCATTAGATCTGATTTTCAATTGACTCAGTTCAATTGGAGGGGGAGGGGGGTTTGCAGGTGAGCCTGCAGGTTAATTTTTATTTTTTCATGGTATGCACCAATACAAGCTTTGATTTGATGTTACAACTATAATGGAATATAACGAGGAGCTTGCACTCTGATTAGCATTCATTCCACTTCATTGAAAATTAACTTCGGCAATCACATTCTTGTACAAAGCTCATTAGTTTCTCAATCAGGTCTTTCTTCTTGTCTCTTGTTTAAGCATTGGTACATTAAATTGGCTCAATTTATTTTCTTTCGCGCACTCATACAGGTTGAAGGCATCGTAAGGCAGAGGGTGTTGTGGCCTCAGTTCCTGGGTAACCTCTTCTATGAGGTGCTGTCTATCGGCTTCTTCTTCCTCCCGCAACAAGTCTCTAGAATTAAGATTGACTTCTGTGGGATCTTGCTGCCTTCTTCTGGTCGCTGCAAGGCGGGAAAAGAAACCCTGCACTTGGCTTTTGGTCAGCCATTCCTTTCTATCAAAGAGCCGATTGTTTCGCTCGTCTGTTGCTTTCCGCATATCGTTGGACACCTGCTGAGGGTCAGCTTTACGCCTAGTCTGCTCTCCAAGGTCAAATCTGGCCGTAAGGCAGTTTTTAACCTTCCCGGTGAACCTCGAAGATCCTGCACGTGGCTTGGGTAAGGCCCAGCCCATACTAGCAGCTTGGTCTAACGGCGGCGACGAGCTCATACTCTGCTGGTAACCAGGTGTACATGTCGCATCTTAAGTTATGTTGACACATGTCTACCCAATCTCTACGAAGCTTGTCATAGAGAGTTTCAGACTGCCTCTCCTCTTTCACACAATGGTCCCCGATGTCCAAATGTGACTCGAGCTCTGAAAAGGTTTTGAAACTCTTAATAAATCCGGGCTCCGAGCATTCAAACATATCTATTTCCGAATCGGACAAAACTGAGCTCTCGGTAGTGGTGTCTTTGCATTTATATACGTGCGTACCGCTGCAATCAAAAAAACTCTTCACTTACAACGAGGCCAGTGTTCCCTTGGCTCAGTGATGCAAGCTCGTCAAAAGGAACCTCCTTACCGCGGCCCACTCCATACGACCTCCAGACACGAATACCCTTTTCCTCAAGCTGGATGTTGTGTAGCTTGCTGAATCCTTCTACCTTGTTCACGTCTAAGGTCTTCTTGGTCTCGTCGACTACGCAGACACATGCGGATGTACCTTTTACTGGTCTCTCTGAAAGCGCCCTTCTCATGTCTGCCGCTGTCAGGATATCATGCCCTTCGTTGCAGTACCGTCGGACATAATATTCGATCGCATACATCCTTGCCGTCTAATCCTTGTTCTTCCAATGTATCTTCATTCCGGATATCTGCCGCTCCTGAAATTTGAATTGACCAATCAGGATTCAGCAGGCGGGAAATTTTACTGTCCTGACGTCAATGTATGTTAACAGGAAAGGCATTGAAATCGGACAACTTTTCTCATTGAAGATGGCATTAAATACTCACGAAAAGGGATTTGCAATTCCAAAAACCATATCAGATTGTAAAATATGAAAAATATGAGACATTTTGTGTCTCCAAGCTTCTAAGTTTGCGCAAAATATGAGTCACACTCGCTCGTAATTCGTAGAGTGTCGTCAGGTAGGATAATACAGTTGTGTTATTCGAAATATGTTGTTCCTCGTCAAATTAAACCCAGGATTCCCGAGTTAACTATTAAATCTAGAGGAGACCAGGATTGGCTTAATTTTTGTCCGCTGCGAAGAAAAACAACTATTATCGTGTCGTTTCCACAGGACGGCTCGGTTTTGACTGCCGCTCGTACTGCGGGCGCAGCCACCGAATGTAAGGATATGGGTGCGATAAAAATAGTCTGGTGCGCTGGGCTAGAATATTCATCAAACCCGTCTCGAAGACATTCTAGCCCTCAAGCCCCACCCAGACAAAGTTCTTGAGCAGTAGCCAGGTCACGTGGTGGTATTTCTTCGGCTACCAAGGTGGTTCTAAATCCCGGGGGGAGGTACTCCCAGAAAAATTGGGTGGGGTTGTGCGGCCCGCTGCCTGAAACCATTATCCTATTTATGACCAAAATCTGCGATTTTCCCTACCTTATTTTGTTACCTGACCAAAAGTTCGACACCCTTTTTATGACCTGACCCTTAAATCAATAGCCTGTTTCAGACCTGCCTTATAATTAGTTTCCTAGTTCAGACCAATGTTAAAGGCAATGTTTATCTGCCTTTATTAGGTAGGTTACAAAACTGCATGTGCAAAGTTTCGAGCTCAGAATTCCACAATATAAAGCGGGTTACATAACGTGCCGTCATCACTACAGAATACATCCTTACCTTATGGTGACTAATATACTGTTTTTTGGAACAAAACAACACCGTAACCATCGAATAAAAGAAAAAACAGGAATTCGAAATGATCGCTGTGTAATAATACAGCAGTTGATCGTATATCATAAAATATTTACATAAATGAACATTATTTACTGAAACTATGAAACATGTCCAAAGTTCCAGCCATTCTTGTCCCATTCTGGGCTGAACAGCTTTAAAAATATTGTGTACAATCCGGGCGTATAATAGAAAATACACGTCCTGATTGCTGTCTTAAACTTAGGCCCAGTCCAGAAGCCGAACTTTTCATGAGCCGAACTTAATTTGAATTTAGCCGAATTTGGATCGACCCAAATTATCAAAAGTACGCCTGTTGAGTCAGACGTCGAACTTAATTTACCGAACTTAATTTAGTTTGAACCAAAACACATCGAAACGTCGGCGGTTTTCAGGCAAGGTGTATGCATTAGGTTTGGCACATGAAAAGTTCGACGTCTGAATCAAAGCCGTTCCAAAGCCGAAATTCCCAGCTGAGCTAGGCGGGAAGAACGGCTGAGCTGCTCCAAATTCAAATAGCCGTTCTTAACTGATTCAGACGCCGAACTTTTCATGTACTTATTTCAAAGTATAGGTTCGACTCATGAAAAGTTCGGCGTCTGAACTGGGCCTTATAGGACAATAATCACATTACAATATGACCATATACTTTCTTTTACTGAAGCCGCATATAACAGAAAAAGCACGTGGTGATTGCTCTCCGATAATATAGCACTGAGGTGATCAAATAATGGTAAGACGGCAAGTACAGATTTATAGACGGCAAGGCAGCTTGGACATTTGTAACAAGAACTTCTGGCCCTTCTTTGGCTTTTAGCGAAAAAACTGAGTAACTCGAGCTCAAAATAGTAAGTAAACCTTCCTTCCCGTAAACTTTTTTTAGTGCACGTGTTTTCCGCAAGGCGCACCGTCATTTTCACTAACTTTGGCTTGATTTCTAGGAACTTTGGGATATTTTCCAGTCCCAGGGACTCTAAACTAACTCGTAATGGCCTTGGTTTGCAGTGAAATGGACAGGGGTTAAATAATTGAACGCTC